CCACCCAGTTATACACAACATCACCCAGTTATACACTACACCACCCAGTTATACACAACATCACCCAGTTATACACTACACCACCCAGTTATACACAACATCACCCAGTTATACACTATACACCACCCAGTTCTACACAACAGCACCCAGTTATACACAACATCACCCAGTTATACACAACATCACCCAGTTATACACAACATCACCCAGTTATACACAACATCACCCAGTTCTACACAACATCACCCAGTTCTACACTACACCACCCAGTTATACACAACATCACCCAGTTATACACTATACACCACCCAGTTATACACAACATCACCCAGTTCTACACTACACCACCCAGTTATACACAACATCACCCAGTTATACACTATACACCACCCAGTTATACACAACATCACCCAGTTATACACTACACCACCCAGTTATACACAACATCACCCAGTTATACACTATACACCACCCAGTTATACACAACATCACCCAGTTATACACTATACACCACCCAGTTATACACAACATCACCCAGTTATACACTACACCACCCAGTTATACACAACATCACCCAGTTATACACTACACCACCCAGTTATACACAACATCACCCAGTTATACACTATACACCACCCAGTTATACACTACATCACCCAGTTATACACAACATCACCCAGTTATACACTATACACCACCCAGTTATACACAACATCACCCAGTTATACACTATACACCACCCAGTTATACACAACATCACCCAGTTCTACACTACACCACCCAGTTATACACAACATCACCCAGTTATACACTATACACCACCCAGTTATACACAACATCACCCAGTTCTACACTACACCACCCAGTTATACACAACATCACCCAGATATACACTATACACCACCCAGTTATACACAACATCACCCAGTTATACACTATACACCACCCAGTTATACACAACATCACCCAGTTATACACTACACCACCCAGTTATACACAACATCACCCAGTTATACACTATACACCACCCAGTTATACACAACATCACCCAGTTCTACACTACACCACCCAGTTATACACAACATCACCCAGATATACACTATACACCACCCAGTTATACACAACATCACCCAGTTATACACTATACACCACCCAGTTATACACAACATCACCCAGTTCTACACTACACCACCCAGTTATACACAACATCACCCAGTTATACACTATACACCACCCAGTTATACACAACATCACCCAGTTCTACACTACACCACCCAGTTATACACATCACCACCCAGTTATACACTATACACCACCCAGTTATACACAACATCACCCAGATATACACTATACACCACCCAGTTATACACTATACACCACCCAGTTCTACACTACACCACCCAGTTATACACAACATCACCCAGTTATACACTATACACCACCCAGTTATACACAACATCACCCAGTTCTACACTACACCACCCAGTTATACACAACATCACCCAGTTATACACTACACCACCCAGTTATACACAACATCACCCAGTTATACACTACACCACCCAGTTATACACTATACACCACCCAGTTATACACAACATCACCCAGATATACACTATACACCACCCAGTTCTACACTACACCACCCAGTTATACACTATACACCACCCAGTTATACACAACTTCACCCAGTTATACACTATACACCACCCAGTTATACACTATACATCACCCAGTTCTACACAACATCACCCAGTTCTACACTACACCACCCAGTTATACACAACATCACCCAGATATACACTATACACCACCCAGTTATACACAACATCACCCAGTTATACACAACATCACCCAGTTATACACTATACATCACCCAGTTCTACACAACACCACCCAGTTATACACTATACACCACCCAGTTATACACTATACACCACCCAGTTCTACACTATACACCACCCAGTTATACACAACATCACCCAGATATACACTATACACCACCCAGTTATACACTACACCACCCAGTTATACACTACATCACCCAGTTATACACTATACACCACCCAGTTCTACACTACACCACCCAGTTATACACTATACATCACCCAGTTATACACAACATCACCCAGTTATACACTATACACCACCCAGTTCTACACTATACACCACCCAGTTATACACTACATCACCCAGTTATACACTATACACCACCCAGTTATACACTACACCACCCAGTTATACACTACATCACCCAGTTATACACTATACACCACCCAGTTCTACACTACACCACCCAGTTATACACTATACATCACCCAGTTATACACTATACACCACTCAGTTATACACTATACATCACCCAGTTATACACAACATCACCCAGTTCTACACTACACCACCCAGTTATACACAACATCACCCAGATATACACTATACACCACCCAGTTATACACTATACATCACCCAGTTATACACAACATCACCCAGTTATACACTATACACCACCCAGTTCTACACTATACACCACCCAGTTATACACTACATCACCCAGTTATACACTATACACCACCCAGTTATACACTACACCACCCAGTTATACACAACATCACCCAGTTATACACTATACACCACCCAGTTATACACAACATCACCCAGTTATACACAACATCACCCAGTTATACACAACATCACCCAGTTATACACAACATCACCCAGTTATACACAACATCACCCAGTTCTACACTACACCACCCAGTTATACACAACATCACCCAGTTATACACTATACATCACCCAGTTATACACAACATCACCCAGTTATACACAACATCACCCAGTTATACACAACATCACCCAGTTATACACTATACACCACCCAGTTATACACTATACACCACCCAGTTATACACTACACCACCCAGTTATACACAACATCACCCAGTTATACACAACATCACCCAGTTATACACAACATCACCCAGTTATACACTATACACCACCCAGTTATACACTATACATCACCCAGTTATACACTATACACCACCCAGTTCTACACAACATCACCCAGTTATACACTATACACCACCCAGTTATACACTATACATCACCCAGTTATACACTATACACCACCCAGTTATACACAACATCACCCAGTTATACACTATACACCACCCAGTTATACACAACATCACCCAGTTATACACTATACACCACCCAGTTATACACTATACATCACCCAGTTATACACTATACACCACCCAGTTCTACACAACATCACCCAGTTATACACTATACACCACCCAGTTATACACTATACATCACCCAGTTCTACACTATACACCACCCAGTTATACACAACATCACCCAGATATACACTATACACCACCCAGTTATACACAACATCACCCAGATATACACTATACACCACCCAGTTATACACAACATCACCCAGATATACACTATACACCACCCAGTTATACACAACATCACCCAGATATACACTATACACCACCCAGTTATACACAACATCACCCAGTTCTACACTACACCACCCAGTTATACACAACATCACCCAGATATACACTATACACCACCCAGTTATACACAACATCACCCAGATATACACTATACACCACCCAGTTATACACAACATCACCCAGATATACACTATACACCACCCAGTTATACACAACATCACCCAGTTCTACACTACACCACCCAGTTATACACTATACACCACCCAGTTATACACTACATCACCCAGTTATACACTATACACCACCCAACTACTTGACATACTCTAAATCTTCCTACCCTGCACTCTAGAAAGGCTGTATACCTAATATGGCAGCTAAGCACATCAGCACAGATCAAAACATCTCAAATAACATCAATGTGTCATAATACAACTATATTATAGAATCACACACAGTTTTTCCCTCACATTTTAGACATCAGTGTTATCACTAAATACATTACATAGTCGCCATCTTTACCCCTTTACTCTCGTAATCACTTTCTCCTAATAAATACTTCACTCTCATGATCCCTTTACTCTTATAATTCCTTTACGTGTGGGGGTCTTTACTCCTGTTATTATTTGAATTCATTCTTTTACAAAACCTTTGCCTCTATTATCACATATCTATTAGTCACTTAATTTGCTCTTGTGATCATACAGTAATGGCGCTCATTTAATTTGAGAATCACAAAACTAAGTTTTTAAACCTCCGTTCAACCTCTCACGTGATGTGACGAGCACAGCACGTTACACTTAGGGCGCTTTATTACTTGTATCCAAGACGGGAATTACTACAACTGATAAATTGGCTCTTCAACTTTCAACTCTACTTTTCTAACTTACAAAGTTACCGAGAAACAGGAACATAACATAGATGTAACAAGTGTGTGTACAGAACAAATCAAAAGTAGTTAGTAACAAAATATTCACAAAGAAAAGTGAATTAATTGTTTATAGTAAATGCCAAGCAACAGCTACAGATATGTATCATGGGGGGAAGAGCATTCAAAAACGTGGCAGCAGTCTAATAATATTATTAATAAAATGTGTGAAATCAGCTTTGGTTTTCCCTTATTATTAGTATCTTCCTGTAAATACCCGGTATTCTCTATGTTTACTCGAGTCTTCGAAAAGCAATGCTAAAATTATCTGCCATTGTAAAGCATCACAAGGATGTGCGTCCTTACCAATACATATGACATACAATACTTCAATGAACATTTTTGTAATTAATATAGAATCAGGGTTAAAAAAAAAAAAAAAGCAAAGCACAAGTTTGGAACATATCTGTCAGAAATGTTGCCGAGCATTTTAAGTTAATTAAAAAAAAAAGTGAGAGCAATATGGCCTACTTTACAAACCAGGCTGTACTAAGTGCATGCAGTGAAGCCAGGGGGGGAGGAGGGGAGGAGAGACAGCGGGAGAGACAGGCCAGCTCTAACGTGACGTGCAAACAAACAGGCACGAGGCTTCTTACATGGAGCACAATGCGCTGTTTCAGAAACACCTCATCCAATTTCTGCAACATGATGAAAAAAAATACAAAAAAAACATCAAGGTTATTCAGCCACAGCCAATATGTTACCATTGTACAGTCTCTCTCTAGAAAAACCAACAAACTCAAATTTTAAAAGAATCATTGTGCATAAAATTCTCTTTAGGTGCTCTACTGCTCTCCTAATAGCTCTCTAATTAACCCGAAGACTTACCATACACTCCGCACCTTCGCTGCCAACAAGCCCCTCACACTAATTATTTACTATTTAGTGCCAGAATAAAATCTCAGGTTGATGCAATGATGCCAGGAACTGTGCATTATATAATGGGGATTACAGATGTTGCGGAGGACTTGAATGCAAAGCTTGAAGTTTAAAAGTCTAATTAATTTTCACCAAGGCATGTACTGTACTGTACGCTATAATTTATCACCAAATATTCAGTGCATACTGTACATCCATATCTTAATACAAATAGTCAAACCAAAGCTGCTGAAGCTTGTATGCATTACTAGCATACATCCCAAGTTTCCTGGGTCGGTGTAGGAGCCATGCATTGGCCGTGGCTTTCATATGTTGCTCACTCACTGGGATATATTAACACAGCTCCAGTTACCCCTAAGACTGTGTTACCTGCTCATCAAACATACACAATTGCAAAGGATGCTTCAACGACTACAAAGAGGTGCCTTAAGGGTCACTGTGCCTATAATTGAATTCGGCTCTTAACATTCTTCTATGTCAAATATCTTTTACATTCATTTTCCCATAAGTATTTATTGTGAAACTAACAGAGTGCTGTTTTGCTGCTATGCAAAAGGAGGGAGAAATTGCATATGATACAGAAAAAAAATTGGGAAAATTGGAGCGAGAGATGCAGACGGCTAAACGAGATGGAAAAACAGATTAAAGGATGGGAGAAAAAGATTAGGGGAAACAGCGAAGTGCGAGATGAAGATGGCCAGAGGCAGAAAAACAGGTTAGAAAAATCTTGCATCAAGTCACAGCAGCAACCACACGACCACTCCACGGCTCCAGTCAAGACTTTGCCAGCTGCCAGTTTTCTACGATGGGATCAACTGTCGGGACTCAATCACAAGGTCCGAGCTGTGTCAGCCACTGGCCGCTCAAGCAACACAGGGCTCAAGTTAATACGACATGCAGTAAGTAACTTTAATAGTACAGCACTATTGCTTAAAAATATCTAAATGACAATTACTGGTACTGTACTTCTTTTTTTTTACCCGTAATTAACATTATTCAATTTATTAAATCTAATTTAAATTAAACTACTTAATAATAAAGCATACTAAGTATTTGTACATAAAGTAATGATTTTTCACTATAAAACCAGATAATGTACTAATAAAATAGTGTAAGAGTTGATCAAAATAGTGTATCCGACAGCTGATATTGCTCACCCGACTGAGCACATTTGCAGCAGGTGTGTGGCAAAAGCAAAGTCTTGTCTGGAAGCCTTTTTTTTCCACAAATATCAAAGGAGATTACCAGTTAATTATTGAAGACAATGAGCACACAAACACACACTCGGTCATCTTCACGGCAACATACGTCAAGTCTGGTGCTTTTCTTATTACACGGTAAATACAATATTTCCTACCAGTGTAAGTAATAAAGATGACAAACCCCTAAAACATTTTGCAGATAAAATACAAAGCTGGCTATAAGTCTTGATATTGGGGTAAATGCATATCAATTTCCAAAAAAAAAAAAAAATCCTGATATATATGCAAAGCTGTAGGTTACTCCGTATACATAGAAATTAAATCTTATCAAAATATTCCCTAACTTTTTCCAAGTCAGTGAAAGCCAATCCAACATGTCAAATTCAGAAATCTTCCCTACAAGGACAGCAACACTGTCAACACTGTACCGTCAACAGGAACATTTGTCAACACTGTACTGTCAACAGGAACATTGTCAACACTGTACTGTCAACAGGAACATTGTCAACACTGTACTGTCAACAGGAACATTGTCAACACTGTACTGTCAACAGGAACATTGTCAACACTGTACTGTCAACAGGAACATTGTCAACACTGTACTGTCAACAGGAACATTGTCAACACTGTACTGTCAACAGGAACATTGTCAACACTGTACTGTCAACAGGAACATTGTCAACACTGTACTGTCAACAGGAACATTGTCAACACTGTACTGTCAACAGGAACATTGTCAACACTGTACTGTCAACAGGAACATTGTCAACACTGTACTGTCAACAGGAACATTGTCAACACTGTACTGTCAACAGGAACATTGTCAACACTGTACTGTCAACAGTAACATTGTCAACACTGTACTGTCAACAGAAACATTGTCAACACTGTACTGTCAACAGGAACAGGTGGAGGTATCAACAATGTACACGAAATGTACAACGATGGTTAAAATGTACATGATGGTTAAAGGTGTGGGAAGAATTAATAACACGCATCAACAGGCAATTAAAGTGTATCCGACTCCATGCGGTTTAGAAAACAAAAGATCACGTATGTAAACAAATATTTAGATGAAATAAGAAATAAACACAAGCGACCAATACACTTACTAGTTGTAACAAAATTCAGCGAGAAATGAGATGTGAACTTGCGCTAGAATATTATTTCGGAAAGAACCGGTTGTAAGCATGTGGATTTTTAGCGGTAAAGTCATTCTTGACGAACAATGATAAAGAGATGAAAACACATTGTGAAGATTTTAGACAGTTGATTAATAGGACAGAAAAGGCAGAGATGGATTCAGTTAGAAAGGGGGGGGGGTCTATGTCTCAGAAAACAAACACATAGACGCTGTAGGACTCAAAGGATTATGTTGGAGAAAGGCAGAAATGGTGCAACATATAAGTCCTATTAAACAAAATAGTGCCAAAAATTATTTCAAGTTTAAGAACTTGTGTATAGACTGCTAAATGTGCTGCATGTATGTGTTATGAACAGTCAGTGCACATACACGGTACTGTATATTTAAATGTATTTTTGTGCATAATAAGCACGAGAGACTTATTCAAAACATGGAGTCATGTCAAATGTAATTCAAGTGGCAATGATTATGTATGTTTGCACGCATATATACTATGCATTCAAATTATTGTGTATGAATGTATGCATGCATAAATATGAAATTTATATATAAATTTAAGTCCCCCACATAAATTGAATAGTGCTTGAATGGAGATAAATATATATAAATAACCAGATAATGTGGATTTGGCTATTACACTGATGGACTTGTTGCAATATTTTGAAACTAAGGAAATCTCAAACAACTGCCAACTAGCAAATGCTCCAAGAAAAAATGGAGAAAAACTTAGACGCACATTTCAACCAATTCGAAAAAAAATTACCAGCTGCTATCACCTATTTAATGAATAACACAGCAGCATTGACCCAACCTAACCTTGTTAAAAAAAAAAAAAAAATTGCGGGCTACAAAAATATAAAAATCTGATACTAGGGTAAAGTCGAATAGAGAGATTTGATGCACGACAAATTATCACCGAGAAAAACAAAGCATTACCATTAATAGGAAAAGTACACCGACTTGAAGTATGTTAATGTGAAATCGTGACTAATGTTAGATGTTAGGGGAACTGGTGCTGCTTGGTCAACTATTGCCATTTCTCTTACCAACTCTTGAATCAGTTCACCGGCCCTTCTTACAAAGCTCTTCCTTAGCTCAGCATCACACTTGGGAATAAAGTCTCGTGTCAGTCAGTGTTCGGGGCTTTATTAGGTACCTCCTGGCAGGCGATACCTAATACTCACCACAATCTCATCCTTATTGTTACATTAAATATTTACAAGGATTTGTTTGAATTGTTTATGCCATTCTAATCATAAGAATCACACTACGGTATTTCCACTAATACCGGGCTATTTAACAAAGAGGTTGAAATCATTGCTTTAGAGCCTGATTTACATCAAAACCTGTATTACACCACAACTATTAAAACATTATAACCCCTTGCAGAGATTAGATCACAATAACGTGCTTGAAAATAAACAACCCAACCCACACGTATGAGAAGAAAGGAAAGTGACGGCATTTTGGCCCGTCGTGGACTGTTATCGAGTCGACAGACTTCATATGGGTCCGTGATGGGCTGAAATATGGTTACATTCCTTACTTTTCATATATAGGGGGGTTGGGGATGTTTATTATAATCTTCCAAATGGGGAAATGGACTGGCAAAAATTATGCATGTTGTCCTCTAAGCATCCCTTGCAGCCATCATTCACAGAAGCTCAAAAATCTGTACACCCAACAATATGGGTTATAGACAAGTACTGCCTTTCCTAAGTGGATAAGACCTGGACATTCATCAAATTCATCAAATACTTAAGTGTCCACTAACGACAACTGTACATCTTTCCTCAAGCATGGCGACTTGGCTTGCATTCATTAAACTGTTTACAAAGCTTGCAAGCTTCACAACCCAAGGATATTGTTGTTATGGACAATCTCATACCACTTCTGAACTCTTTTTTAAACAGTTAAACAAATACTGTAGAAACTAAGCCACCATGATTGAAGAAAGAAGAACAGGTCTCATAAATGGACACTTCTGAGTGTTTGATGAATCCTGGCTGCTCTCTGGCTCTGGGTTATGCAGGGTGCTACAGCAAGGGTTAATGTTCATGGTCAGAATCAGTCATCAGGGGGTCAGATTCACGAAGCAGTTACGCAAGTGCTTACGAATGTGTACATCTTTGCTCAATCGTTGACGGCTTTTGTTACATTTATTAAACAGTTTACATGCATGAAAACTTCCCAATCAACTGTTGTCATTGTTATAAACAGCATCCTGGTGCTTTGGAGCTCATTAACTGTTTAATAATTGTAAACAAAGCCACCAAAGACTGAGAAAAGATGTACAGGTTCGTAAGTGCTTGCGAAACTGCTTTGTGAATTTGGCTCCAATTACTTCATGCCCAGAAACTGCTCTCGTCATTTCCCTCCATTGAGCTCATTGTTATCACACAGCTCCACTGAGGTTAGTTATTCCCAATACAACTACATAATGCACTAATTAAAGCCCTAGCAGCAAATATATAATTCGGTATCCAACATCCTATCCCGATTATTCCTTAACCGTAAATTAGAACCCTCGGATGCCCAAATTTTGTTAGTACACTGCGGTATTTGCTCACACCAACACAAAAGAATCTTATAGACATTGATGTATTATAACAAAAGTTTTAATTACATTCCATTGTATTGTGATTTTTTGCCTTCATTTTCATAGTGATGCGTACTACACAAAAGAATAAAATTGAAATTTTGATAGGTGGATGGTTTGTTTAAACACCCTAGGGTACTAATATTGGGTTATTTGTTGTCAATATCAACACTCTTATTCATGATGTTATATCTATCTCTATCATG